AATATCGGCATATCAGATATCGGCCAAAATCCCAATATCGTGCATCCCTAGTAACTATACAGTCATATGTTTACATCCCTGTTTTTCATCACAATGTTTTCATCACTGCTGCTTACCTTATCATGGCTGCACTTGAAAAAATGAAATAGTCTAGATGTTGTTCTTAACTAGATTTTTTTTTGGTCTACACTTGTGTGTACAAAATGACAAAATAGAATCTGTCTAAGTCCAAGTCTGTGGGCATTCAGGTGGTGCAGTGGTTAATGACCCATGTATGGAGGCCTTAGTCCTCGCCATGGCCGACCCGGGTTCGAATCCGACCTGTGGTCTTTCAGCTGCATGTCTCTCATTCCACCTTCATAGAAAACTCAAAGGATAAATGTAAAGTTGAGGTCCTGTGCATCCATATTGACCATAGGGGTGCTGATCTGACAGAACACTGGTTAAACTGGCTTTACTGTTTGTTTCCTCTGCAAAGCATAATTGCTTTATCTAACTATGAAGATTTTATTTCTTCCAGCTCATGAGGCGATGCGAAACATTCTTTAAGGAATCCCTAAATTAAATCCAAAGCAAATATTTCATTGCATTCTGTTTATTTCAGGATAAAGATCCAGATGAATATTTCTCTCATTGTTCTTGTTTCTGTCTATTTAAATATAATATAAATGTTTCCTTGTTTTGTCAATAAAACCTTTTTCTACATTTTAATTAGCATATTCATTCAGTTTAGGTCTTGGTTGCCATGGCATCATAATTATGGAGGTTCTCTCTGTATTTTTATATCAAACCCTGTGAATTTAAATCCACTTTGACCCCTGAGCAGAAAAATAGAGAGAAGAATGTTTTTGTTCTTTGCTTTTTTGGAGTAATGCAGATTTTATTGATCTGTGTTTAATGCAGAATCAGATCAGGAAGTGTTTGCTTTGGGATGGAAACCTTGGATGTCTAAAACTATTCCTTTATTGGACATTTTGTTAGCTTGTCTGTCTGCCATATTAACCAATAGGATGAGCTGAACTTTTCTCAGACATTGTTGTATAAAGTAGAGCTTTAATTCATTAAGAAAAGTTTATTTGAATTCTATAAATCTAAATTTTTTTGTCCAACAGCAATGATGATCTGCACTGCAGCACTCTATACCCAGCTACTGTAGCATCTAGGATAGAGCTGTCAGTCTGGGAAAGAATCTGGTTCTTATTCCAAAAGTTCACTTTTGTTTTGCAACATAAAACTGAATAAAATTACAGACTTTTTGAGTTTTAGTTGACTAAAATTTGACTAAAACTATTAATATTTTTCATCCTGAAGACTAAGTCTAAGAAACAACACTGTTTATGAAGATGCTAAGCTAATGAGCTGATCAGTGCGCAGCAAAGAGAGCAGGTATGGTTCATCTGTCGCTGTCAGCCTATCAAACCGCAGAGCATCACAGACGCAGTAAATGCTGCGTTCACTGGACGTTCATGTCAGGCTCAGTGGAACTGATGGACAGACTGTACGACTGCTCATGCCGCTGGAAGAAAGATGATCTATATAACAAATATAACAAATGAAAATTATTTGCTGTTTTTTAATGGTCTTATCTATGGTCACTCTATCAGATAAAAGTATTTTGCACTTTTTTGAATGAAATACTAAATTACAACTATATTTAATGAAACTGGATTACCTTTCACTGTAACTTTGTTTTTCATTTAACACAATGGGTCTTCAATGTTTTCCTGGCCAAGGGCCCCAAACTGATATTCACTCTATTACAGATGGAGTAATGTAACTAAAGTAATCCCTCCCTGGGATTATTAAAGTATTTCTGATTCCTGGTTGATGGGACAGGTGTTGTGAATGAAACGGTGCCCAGCTTAAAGAGCTCCTGTGTGTCTCTGAATGTGAGCATTGATGACTGAAAGACATCTATCTCCATTTATCTGTTTACTACAGTCTGTTGAATTCATGTTAATGTGGATTTAAAGACATTTCAATTAGTGGAAAAATTGCAAAAAAAATGTCTACTCAGCCTAAACTTTTGCGACCCCCGTGCAGTACCTCTGTGGACCCTCTAGGGGTCGCGGACCCCCTGTTGAAGACCTCCGATTTAACATAATGCCTTAGAGACATAATATGTTCCTTAAAACATACATGAGAGGAAATAATTTCGTCTTCCAGTCCACTTGGGCGATGGATCAAAAAGTTCATTTCGGAGCCAGCCTGTTGGTCCTCAGAAGGTTGGTAAATATTCCCCTAATGGTCCTAAGCAGGTAACATAAACAAGCACACACACACACACATAGCAAAAAGTCCTCAGTTTGCAACAGGTGGTCCTCAGTGTGACGCTAAAATAGGACAAATGATGGTAAATTAACAGAGATATTTACAAAACAAACTTAAGGCGACTTTTTAGGGTTTTGCTTTCTTTCAAATTTAGGTTTTTATCTCTTGTTCAAAAACTTGTGTTTAAATAACCAGCCTGCCTTTTTATTGCTTCATGACCACATGGGGATAATACAATAAATGTTCCAGACTAGTATGTTTTTAATACGTTCCTTTTTCATATTGTGGCTGATGCTTACTGTTGATTATTGATGGAAAACTACAGTCAGATTCCTTATTTTTGCTGATACGCCGGCTCCCCATTTAAATGCTTCTATTCACCACAATCCTCCATGAACACAAAAAACTGTAGAGACTTTCATACTTTTAGATCAAACTTACAGAGAACTTTAACTTCCTAAACTAAAACTCCAGGAACTGGTGCATTCCCAGTAAAAGCACCAGGTCCTGCAGCAAGAGATGATCAGTGCGGCCTGACTGTCAGCTGGCTGCGTTCGGCAGCTGCAAAGCCGTTTGATTCGGCAAACCCTCCATAGAATCAAAGCGGTGGAGAAGCATGGCTCCTGCAGCACGGCTCAGCAAAGAGAACAGAGGAGTGTTGGAAGGTAAATTGGTCCCTGGATCTCCAAGCAAAACGGCAACAGATCAAGGCGTCTTTTCCTTCGTTCTGCTTTAAGCGGCGGCCAAGAACGTGATCAACGCTACGAGCTGCAATCAAAGCCCCAGATGGCAGCAACACAACATCATTTCTAGAGGAGCGTTCAGGCCGCCCATGCTAACATTCCCCTCCATGCATAGAGTGTTGATTATTAGAGTGTTTTTCTGCAAACGTGTTTGAAGTCTCCCTCTATTATACTGTATTTACATTTTCTACCATTTATTGACGATTACTCTGTATTTTTTGCAAAATTTAATCATCCTTAATAAAA